CCCGCGCGCCCCGCTCCACAACCGGGCGCGGGGACCAGCGCCTGAAGCAGGGGGGACCGCTGGACTCTCGCCACCTAACCTCCCACCCTTCCCATCAGGAGCTATTCCCCGCCAGTCAGCGTCTTCCAACTTCAGATTCTCGCCTTCCTCTTCAGCCCCCAGGACCAAGGTGCAGCCGTGGAGGGAAACTCAGCCTCCGCCCCCTCGCCCATAAGCGGGGATGAGTATCAATCTTCCCCCCTTTCCTGAGGTTTCATGGTATTGCCCAATCCTCAATTTGGGGGAGGGGACGGAGAGAACACTGCCTGGCCAGGGAATGAGGGAAGATGATAGCCAATTGAATGAACCATCCATTCGGGGGCGGGGTCAAAGAGATGCCTGCCGGCCCCGCCCCCTCGATCTAAACTACATTTCCCATTGTGCCTCTGGTTTCCTGTCGCGCTGCACGCCGGGAGTGCAGGACTCCGACCGGCAAAGTATATCGGAATTCGTAGTCTTAAGTCAAAAAGGTCCTGAAAGTTATAAGCTAATATAATTCTATTTCCCTCGATACATGTTCCAAATTATCAGTTATGCTGTACTTATTCTAATGCTAATTAATTTATTTAAAGTGTCATAAATTATTGCTTAGCAAAGGAACTAAACAAGGTGCGCATTGGCAATCTTTCAGGACCTGGGAGCCGCCGCTTCTTCCGCCGGGGCCTGGTCTCCGCAGCTCTACCGCCGTCATGTCGGCTGCGATTGCAGCTCTGGCTGCTTCTTACGGTTCGGGTTCAGGGTCCGAATCGGACTCGGACAGTGAGGGCGGACGGTGTCCACTGCCAGCGGCGGACTCCCTCATGCACTTGACTAAGTCGCCTTCCGCCAAGCCCTCTCTGGCGGTGGCGGTGGACGCGGCTCCGGAGGTGGCAGTTAAGGTAAGCGCTTTTGCCCCGGCCGCGGTGCGGGAATGGGCTTCTACTCCAAAACCTGGCGGTGGCTTGTTAGGCCCCGTGTTACCTCTTGCTCCGTGCCGAGAGACGAGTTGCTGACGCTTGGAGTTCTTCTCCTCCCCACATGCATCCTCCTCGGGAGAAGCCAGGAAGTGGGAGTTCAGGACAGCGCTCCGCTGCTCCCTGCCTTCGCCTGCCCGTGGGGAGAGGGAGTGAAAGTCGAATGTATGGATTAGGATGTGGCCTGGCTGGAGCAGGTGTCATCTCAAAAGATAAGAAAGGCTAACTCCGGACTTCTCAAACTAGAGCGGATGCCCTCACTGGATGTGAGCAGTGGCCTGGCTTTGTTTTGTTTTTGAAGTTTGAACTGGATTCCCAGCTCCACCCCTTGTCTGGACTTGGCCAAGTTTCCTACCTGTGCAATAGAGATCATCTTAAAAGCACATACTGTGTGAGTGGATTATTGTGGGGGTGAAGTGAAACGGCGTAAATGGAGCGTATAGCCTGGTATCTAATATAGTGCGATAAGTGTTGTTAGCTCTTTTGATTGTATAGGTCCATACAGTGAGAAAAGAACTTGGATTTCAGAAGGAATGCATGACCCCAGTTGAGAGAGGCGATAGAGGGAGAAATCGGGTTATATAGTTGATTTAACAAATATGGAACACATGTTATTTATCAGGAACTGTTCTAAGGGCTGATGACACAGAGGCCAACAAGCCAGGCATCTTTGCCGTCACGGGTCACATTCAATGGAAGAGGCAGCCAAAAAATGTGAGCAGATAGAGTGGCAGATTGGACTGCGTACTGTGAAGGGGGAAAATAGAGTATTATGATAGAGAATAATGCAGGAGTAGGACTTCAATAGATAGGTCAGAGAAGTCCTCTCTGAAGCCAGCCACGCTCAAGCGAAGGTTAGAGATCCCAGGCAAAGGAGACAGCAAGCCTTGAGATGGCACAGAGTTTAATGTGTTCGAATAGCGGAGGGGAAGTCAGTGTGTCTGGAGCCCAGGGAGAGCATCTGCCAGTTGGTAGCCTAGGCCCCAAAGGGGGTGGTGATCAGAAGCTCAGGGGAGGCAGTGTGCAAAAATTCCTTGGTATTTACGATGTTCCCAGGGTCATTGTGTTATCACTTACGTCATTTACAAATTCCCCAAACTTATACATCAGCTCCTGAGCCCTCATTCCTTTCACAGCTCAGGTTTTGGGATCTCTCTCCTACTTCTTCATTGCATTTTCTCCTCAACCCAGAGCAGCCTGGTTGTAGCTTCTTGGGCAAACTCTTGGAGTTGTATGATACCATAAAGCATTTAAAGCACTCTGCCAGGCACACTATTCTTATTATGTCCAATTGTAAACTCCTTGCTAGCTCCGGAGCTATTAAGCCTCTTTCTTAGGATGGCTCTCAGGCACCTTCAGTCCCATTTTGAATAATGATTCCAACCCATTAGTCTAAGCCAAGAAGAGGGGGTCTTCCTTTACTCTTCTTCCTCAGCCCTTGAAGCTAGTCATTCGGCTTATTCTAACATTTCTGCCAGGCCCTACACTGGGCCATAAAATAAGTCTCAATAAATTTTAAATCATGCTATCATGTTCTGTGACCACAGTGCATCTAAGCTGAATCAGCCACAAAGGATAACTATAAAATTCCCATCTTTGAAATATGAAATTGTACTTGTTAGTAACTTATGAGCCAAAAAAAAAGTAATAGAGAATATTTTGAACTGAACAATCAGGGAAATAATATTATTCAGAACTTGTGAGGTACAGCCATGGCAATATTTAAGTATAGTCTTAAATACATGTAATAGAAAAGAAGAAAGTCAGAAAGTTAGTATGGTAGGCATCCTCTCTTTTGGATTACTTTTTTAAAATCATTCCATTCTTTTCCTGTACTCACTTCTAACTTATGCCCTCAATTTCTGGTAAGTGGTTAGTCCTAAAACTTAAAACATGTCTGAGTTGATACCTTTGCCTCTTAGTGAACAGTGCAAGAACACTTCACTTAGCTATTATTGTCATTCATTTAAAACTCAAAAGATAACAGCAAGTGAGTCTGATTCTTGGCATCTCATTATGCAAGAGATCTGTTTCTGCCTGTAGTGCATACTTAAGAAGGTCTTTAAGTGAGGGTTAACTGGTGGCAGCTACTTTGTTTTAGTTTGTCGTTAAAATGCTTTTATTTAACCCTCTTTCTTTTTTTAATATATATATTTTATTGATTTTTTACAGAGAGGAAGGGAGAGGGATAGAGAGTTTAG